TTTAACGATATTGTATACATGTATACTGTTTACATATATATGAATTCTTAATATCTAGCATTAAGAATTGCATTGTATTGAAAAATATATTTATAGCTGTAACACTCTCGCCCCTTGATATAAAAAGAACAAAAATTATAATATCTAATTTCTATTTATATCTAAAATAGAAGTAGAAAGATTTTTTCCGCTCATTTAACCTAATAATCAAGTGGATTTCCACCAAAGCAACTTTCAGTGGATCGCTACTCCATAAAATAAACATTCATGCTAAATTTCAAGTCTAAATCTAACAGAGCAAAAACGGAATTTTTATCATCAATACCTCGTTGACAGCATTCTTAGCGGATTCCAATTCAACAAAAGAAGCATGCAAACCAAATTTTATTATTATAGTCTTAGCTGTTCAAAAACGGGAATTTTGTCTATCAATACGCCCCAATAACTCTCCCCCGCTTCCCCCTGGAGTTGATTTCCGTAAAATTCACTTTAAGTGGAACTCTATTCAACTAAAGAAACGTGCTCAACAAATTTCAAGTAAATGAGTTAAATTCAAAAACAAGAATTTTTCTATAACACGCCTTAATCCCTTGGAACCCCACTCCTTTGGGGTTACGTTTTCGCAAAACTCTTTGTAAAAGGAACTCTATTCCATGAACGGAACATACCTTCTAATTTTCAAGCAGGTGTTTCTATTAGTTGAAAAGCGGCAATATTTATCTATTACGCCCCTTAATCTCCCTCAGTGACACTTGGGGATGGATTTTCCCCAATCTATTTTGTAGCGGATCTCTACACCATGAAAGGAATCTGCTCAACAAATTTTAAGACTGTACGTCAAATAGTTTAAAAAATGGAAATAATTATCTATAACGCCCCTTAAGCCCCCACAACGCCACTTAGGAAGCGATTTTCATAAAGCCCATCTTATAGCAGAACTCTACTTAATGAATGGAATCTGCTTACTCAATTTCAAGATTTTGCGTCTGATAGTTTAAAAAAGGAGATAATTATCTACAACGTCCCTTATATCTCCACAACGCCACTTAGAAGGTCGCTTTTTGACAAAACCCATTTTGTAGCGGATCTGTACTCTATGAAAGGAATCTGCTTACCAAATTTCTCAAGACTGTACGTCTTATAGTTTAAAACTGGTAATAATTATGCATAACGCCCCTTAAGCGACCTCAAAGCCCGTTGGAGGTCGATTTTCGTGAAAATCATTATATAGGGAATCTCTACTTTATGAAAGAAATCTGTGTACCAAGTTTTTCAAGACTGTACATCTAATAGTTTAATAATGGAAATAATTATCTATAACTTCCCTTAAACCCCTGTAACGCCCCTTGGGGTTCGATCTTTGCAATCTCCGCTCTTAGCTGACGTCTACTCTAGGAAGGGAACCTACCTACGAAATTTCAAATCTGTAGGTTTAATAGTTCCGGAGATCTCGTGATTAGTCAGTTAATGAGTGAGTCGCTTTTCTCCTTTATATTTATACTAGCCGTTACCCATGCCGCTTCACTGGGTATTTCACGATGTTGTATATATGTATACTGTTTACACATGTATTAATTATTGATATCTAGCATTAAAAATTCGATTATATTGAAAAATATATTTATATCTGTTACACTCCCGCCCATTGATATAAAAAGAACATAAATTATACTATCTAATTTCTATTTATATCTAAAATAGAAGGAGAAAGATTTTTTTCGCTCACTTAACCTAATAATCAAGTGGATTTCCACCAAAGCAACTTTCAGTGGATCTCAAATCCATAAAATAAAAAAGCGTGCTAAATTTCAAGTCTAAATCAAACAGAGCAAAAATGGAATATATATCATCAATACCTTGTTGCCTCTTAGCGGATTCCAATTCAACAAAAGAAGCATGCAAACCAAATTTTTTTATTGTAGTCTTAGCAGTTCGAAAACGGTAATTTTGTCTATCAATACGCTCCAATAACTCTCCCCGCTTCCCTCTGGAGTTGATTTCCCTAAAATCCACTCTTAGTGGAACACTTTTCAACTAAAGAAAAGTGCTCAAAAAATTTCAAGTAAATGAGTTAAATTCAAAAACAGGAATTTTTCTATAACACGCCTTAATTCCTCACAACCCCACTCTTTTGGGGGTCCGTTTTCGCAAAAAATCTTTGTAAAAGGAACTTTATTCCATGAACGGAACATACCTTCTAATTTTCAAGCAGGTGTTTCTATTACTTGAAAAGCGGAAATATTTATCTATTACGCCCCTTAATCCCCCTCAGTGACCCTTGGGGATCAATTTTCCCCAAAACTATTTTGTAGCGGATCTCTACACTATGAAAGGAATCCGCTTATATATATATATATATATATATATATATATATATATACCAAATTTTAAGACTGTATGTCTAATAGTTTAAAAATGGAAGTAATTATCTATAACGCCCCTTGATCCCCCGCAACGCCACTTAGGAAACGATATTCAAAAAACCCATCTTACCTAAGATCTCTACTCAGTGAATGGAATGTTCTTATACTTAATTTTAAGATTTTACGTCTGATAGTTTATAAAAGGAGTTAATTGCCTATAACGCCCCTTAATTCTCCACAACGCCACTTGGAGTCAATTTTCACAAAACCCATTCTGTAGGGGATCTGCACTCTATGAAAGGAAACCGCTTATCAAATTTCAAGACTGTACGTCTAATAGTTTAAAAATTGAAATAATTATGTATAACGCCCCTTAAGCCTCCGCAACGTCTCTTACGAAACGATTTTCACAAAATCCATCTTATAGCGGATCTCTACTTAATGAATGGAATCAGCGTACTAAATTTCGAGATTTTACGTCTATTAGTTTAAAAAAAGGAGTTAATTGCCTATAACGCCACTTAATAATCTACAACGCCATTTGGGAGTCGATTTTGACAAAACTTATTTTGCAGCGGATCTGTACTCTATGAAAGGAATCCGCTTATATACCAAATTTCAAGACTGTCGTCTAATACGTTAAAAATGGAAATAATTATGTATAACGCCCCTTAAGTGCCTTCAACGCCCCTTGGAGGACGATTTTCGTAAAAATCATAATGTATGGAATCTCTACTTTATGAATGGAATCAGCTTTCTAAATTTCGAGATTTTACGTCTAATAGTTTAAAAAAGGATTTATTTGCCTGGAACGCCACTTAATTCTCTACAACGCCACTTGAGAGTCGATTTTCACAAAATCCATTCTGTAGAAAATCTGCACTCTATGAAAGGAAACCGCTTACTAAATTTCAAGATTGTACGTCTAATAGGTTAAAAATGGAAATAATTATGTATAACGCCCCTTAAGCGCCCTCAACGCCCCTGGGAGTTCGATTTTCGTAAAAATCATTATGTAGGGAATCTCTACTTTATGAAAGAAATCTGTGTGCCAAGTTTCACGACTGTACATCTAATAGTTTAGTAATGGAAGTAATTATCTCTAACGCCCCCTTAAACCCCCGTAATGCCCCTTGGGTTTCGAACTTTGCAAAATCCGTTCTTAGCTGACGTCTACTCCAAGAAGGGAACCTACGTACCAAATTTCAAGTCTGTAGGTTTAATTGTTCCGGAGATATTGTGATTAGTCAGTGAGTCAGTGTGTCAGTGAGTCAGTGAGTGAGTGAGTCGCTTTTCTCCTTTATATATATAGATATAAATTAAATAAAAGCAAAAAAAGTAATCTGGGAATTTAACAGCAACTATTTTTAATATAGAAACATTTAATTTTAATATTAAATGCACAAAAACAGCAATTCTTATCATGTATTTGGTGAGTGATAAGCTTGTATATAACACAGTTGAACATGATAATTCCTTTTATCTAACTATCGATTGGACTTAAGAATTTCTTGGCAATTTATTTAGATGGGTTTAAAGAAAAACCACAGGGGAAACGTCTTTTAAGTGAAAGAGTAAGTGAAACAAAAGTTTTTAATTTTCTAAAGTATTTATTACTTTAAAAATGAATTAGACAATCTAAGCAAATGTGCTTGGAGACCATGAAGACAACTTTATCTTCATTACAATCCCTGGGTATTACCGCATTTACGGTGTTCAACTAGACATTCGTCTCCATTATTAAATGGGAAAAACTTCATTCAGAAAATGTTTTCCTTTAAATCAGACGAGAAAAACGTCCACGAATCGATTACACGGGTTTGTAATCGATTCGTGGTGAAAAGGATTTCTAAAAGTCTTTGATAGCCAAATAGAGAATAATTAAAAGTAGGAAATTCATGTTATTGGTTGGAGGAAATGAAGATTTAAGAGCACGCGTTTCACAAATCATTGTAAAAAAAAAATACGTGTAACTGTTTGTTTTGATAGAATCAAACCGCTTAAAAAATCATGTGAACATAACAAATACGTAGTATAATAACTTTCCTATTATCATAATAACAAGTTATTTTTTTAAAAAAAATAATGCGTCAATTCCTACTTAGGTCAACAAAGAAAATTTCTATTTTAGTCACGTTTTACTAATAATTTCAATTAATATAAATATGTACATACATATGACAGAATCACAATATTAAGTGACAAAATAGAAATCAATTTTCCTTGCAATTTTCCATTTTCCTTTCTATATAGGGTATGGAACTATTATTTTTGTTACTATTTATTCATTTTTGAAATTAATTATTCCGATAAAATAGTATAAACTTAAACTCATTGGCACAACAGCCCATGAGGGCCAGGGCCTACTGTGCCCATCAGAGTATACATAACGATTGGGCGCTGAGGTGCATGAGCAAAAGTACCGATCAGATGGTTTGTCTGAAGCAAGACCCCCTGTATTAAAGTCCTCAAGTAATCTTGGTATTCATTTATCGACGCACTTCAGTAGGAATGAAAGGCTGAGTCGACCCGGGAATAGAACCCGGAACTGTGGTGGGGAAACGCGAGACGCTGCCTCTCGATCACTGAGCCTAATAAAATAATATAGTAAAAAGAAATCAAATTCTCAAATTAGGCCAACCCAGGTGGAATTCAAACCCACGACCTTTGAATTAGATGTGCAACGCGCTATCTATTGCGCTACATGACACAACGAGTTGGTTTACTTCTTATACACGGTGTTGGACTACTATTTTTGTTTGTTACAAAATATTCATGAATTAATAAATTAATATTTGAAAAAAACTGTATATAATCAAACGTCGTCCACTACAAATTTAAAAAAAAATGTATTTGAACTTGAATGGATGAGTAAAGAGTATTTTATATTAACGCACGCGATTGGAAATTTGAACTAAATATATACATAAATATATATAGAAAACTGTGAACTAAAGTAGGAATTGAAAAATAAAATAACGTATGGTAAATTTCATATAAAATAAAACTTAGTGGCGCAAAAGCCCATCTAAGTATACAGGACCATTTGGCGCAGAGGTGCATGAGCAGATGTCCCGATCAGGTGGTCAGTCTGAAGTGAGACACTCAGTGTTTAAATCCCCGAGAAAGCTTCGTACTCTTTTTTGACCCTCTGCAGTATGGATGAAAAGCTTATTTGATCTTGCCTATCCCGGGAATAGAACCTGGACTTATGGGGTGGAAGGGCGATACGCTACCACTCGGCCACCGGGGGTCTTTGTAAATTTCAAATAAGGACTAAAATTTGTTGAAGTGAAAAGGACATTCAATTCATAACAAAACCACTATTTTTTTCGAATTTTAAACTATTTCAGATACTTTGAACATATGTGAATTTTATATAATAGAGCTGAGTTACATGGGAGAGTGTTAAATGTGTAATATGCCACTTTCAACTGGCTGGAGATTGGGATATGATCCACAAACATACACGTTTTGAATAGTCATTTAGCTCGTTAAGAACTTATTTAAAAACGTAGCATGTTCTCATTCGAATTTTCCTTAAACTAATTTCTTGGACTATTGTATGACATTGTTTGATATGAAATATTGCCTTATGAAAGAATCGTTATGCATGCAAATGAGCTTTGCTACCGGATTTTTCAAAAGTCACGCACATCCACATGGTAATCCTTGTTGCTTAAAAACAAAAATGGTTGGTTGAGGGTTCACTAGATGGCGACAGAGGCCCTTTCATAAGAAGTTTTGAACGAATCAGGCATCAGTTTCAAAATACTTGTCAGTTGTTTTTAGTTGAGTACAACGGGAGGTGCATAATATTTTCCCAATAGCAGAGAACAGCCATCTGGTATTTTTATTTATCTCATTACCGTGTGATAAATGTATTTCAGTAGAAATATCCCGCTGAAACAGCACCAAATGCACCAAACATAACACGTTTAGTGCAACGGTTCCGTGACACAGAATCGGTTGCAGACCCAAACCAATTAGTTAGAGAGTCCATAGTAAGAACGAAAATGGCAGATGTGAAGACCGCTTTACAAAGAAGTCCAACGAAAAGACCATACGTCTGCATAAACATCATTACAGAATTCATATCCTTGCTGAACGGTGGAAAACAATACCTTGTTGCAGCAAGACGGCGCAACGTGTCACACATCATGGGACAATATAGAGGTTTTAACTGAATTTTCATATGATCGTGTCATTTCCAAAGGCCACGTTCACCGGACTTGTCAATTCCAAATTTTTTTTTCCTTTGGGGATAGCTGAAAAATGTCTCCTTCAGGAATAACCCTCATACGCTAGATGAACATAAGAGTGACGTCATTCTTGCAACATCTGATATTAAATCTCAAACTTTTCTTAAAGTGGCAATCTGGTAAAAAGAGTTCGACTGTGTGTCCAGGAAAATGAACACTATTTTGAACATTTACTGTTATTTTACCATGTTTGACACCTGACAATAAAAATAACCGTTCAACCTTTGTTTTTCCTTTAGGCTGTTTATTAACATAATTCATTTATCTTTATACCTCATTGACAAATTTGATGTGCGCGACTTTTGAAACACCCGGTATATAAATAGAACTGTAATGAAAAGCCGGGAGATCGTAAGAGCAGAGAGGATCATGGCGTTTTAAATTTGTATAGGAATTGAAAAAAAATTATTGAAAGAATAACGAGTGTGTTAGGTGGAGAACAGTTTAGTACACTAATCAATGAAGTCGCTTGAAAGTATTAATAAAAGTGTTAGAAGCATAGCTGTTAAAAAAACTTCAATCAGATATATACCGTAAAATTTGGCGTATAGCGCGCACAGTCGTGTCACGCACCCATACTTTCATGTTGTATTTTTAAATTTTTAGGTATATTAGCTGTATAACGCGCACCTTTTGTTTTACAACGGAACAAGAAATGTGCGTGTATAGTGCTCGTATGTTTTAAAGTCATTTAATTGAAATATTATCCTAGGATTTTGAAAAAAATAGTATACTTTTAGAAAGAAAACCCTTTAATTTTATTAGATATGTTATTTGTTATAAATAAACAGTGTTCCTAACTATTTAGAAGTCTAATTATTCTGAAGCTCATCTCTTTTTCAATTCTTACTATTAGCTCACAATATCTCTATGTATTTATTTATTTATATATTTATTTATCTTGGTGAGGGGAATTTTCAATCATTAATAGAATACATTTTAAAGCGCTCAATTGAGCTGAAATTTTATATGCAGAATTATTTTGGTTGATTATACAATAATATAATAATGATTAATAAAAATTAATTGATTAAAACTAATTATTTAAGGAATTACAAATACAACCACGTTGGCGTCATTTTTGGCGACTTGTGTCAATACTTGAAAAGGTTTTTTTTCTCACGTCTTAAAGTATTCAGTTGAGCTGAAATTTATATACACGATTGTTTTGGATAGCAATACGATAATTTAATGATAATGAAATAGAAATTAATTACCACTTAATTTTGTGATTCTGACCTATGTATATTCATATTTATATTATTTGTAACTATTTAATAAAAAGTAGCTAAAATAAAATTTTTCTTTGTTAATTCAAGTAGGAATTGACTTATTTTTTTTTTTGTATTACTTGTTTTACTTTAGAAGCTGTTATTTTTATACCCGGTGGGCGCTATACGCCGGATTTTATGGTTATTATGTTTAGCTAGATAAAGGTTATATTTATTTAATAAGAGCTCGGTTAAACAAACTGCTTCCATTGTATGCTATTTTTCTATCACTGCTATTTATATTGTATGCATTTCAATACAAATAGTGCTTAATTAACTGTTATATATGACATTATTTTGGATTGTACGATATTTCATATCCCAAAGGCGTCGCGCAATATTTAAAATTTATTTAACTGATTCAAAGTTTTCCAAACTTTAATATACATGTGATTTTGTCTTCACAAAAATTACTTCAAGAAAACTTAATGAGGATTGAATTTAAGAGATAAAATACGTTTTGGTGACAAAAAGTTAATGTGACCATTTCTAGTCACAAAATTTGAAGGATAAAAATTATTTATTCAGACAGAGAGAAAGTATTTCTAGAATAATAGGGATAATGCAAGGAATCAAAGATCAAACAATGATTTTGTTTTAAAAATATAATATTAAGGAGTAATATATGATGCGAACCAAATAAAATATATTAATGTTATATAAATACTTTAGTGAGAGGTTTCTTAAAAACCATCCTTTGACGAATATTTGATGGTTAAATATTTACGTGAATTTTCCTCGTTATAAAACTTTTCCCAGATTACACAAATGAGTTTGAAAAAAAAGACTTAAAATTTTAAAGAGGTGATCTCATATTTAAATATCAACACATCACAGTCTTTTTTAAAAAATGATACTTCAGTCAATTTTTTAAAAAATGTACTTAAATTTAGTAATTTTAAAATTATGGCACATGAAAATTAGATATTAAGTGAATCCCTTTTTAATGATAATAATTATGTCTCTTTGCAATATCATTAGACATTAAGAATTATATTAGCAAATTTATAAATGTTTTATAATAGTATATAAAAACAACACATAGTGGTATACAAAAAATAACACGGATAATTAAATATATCCTACAAATTCATGTGATTATTTTGAATTGTTAAACTCAACAAAAGCTTGTAATAAAGGTCCTTCAGAAATAGATTTAAGAATATTTTTATCAAGAGTTAATCCAAATTTTTATTTTTTATTTATCCAATATACAAAACTTAATTTCGTCTCATTTCCTTTGACACAATATACATGCTTTGAAACATTTAATATATATTTGCATTGCTTTATATAGCATATGTTCCAAATTGAATCAAATACTTCATTGACAAATTGAAATTTATTGCAAAACAAATCCACATTTTAATAGTCGGAAGTCAAACTATCGATTTTATTTGATTATCTCTGTAATGGGTCTATCCACGAAGCTTCTAATAATCCTCTTGGGGTAAAATTATTCTTTTTCACTGCAAGTTCTGCTGAAAATGTTCCCTTGAAGAAAAAGACGGGATTTAGTTGAATGAGTTTTTCTATTTAAGCGTTGGCATTTGTGCGCGCGATGATGGTGCATAGTTGATAGTTTAACTTATTGTGGCTGATCTTTACTTGAAACCCCAAGCACTAACAATACGAAGCTGGTTGTTACATCTTTACAGAATAACTATTGTTTCATTTCAGGTTACATGAACTTAACCAAACAAAACAGTATTTAAAATACAAAAAACAAATATTTTAGAAAAACAAAGAGACTTAGAGACAAAATTTTAAGTTAGGATTAAGTAAAATGAATCGAAACATTGAAAACCGAAACTGAAATTGAATAAAATAGCAACTTATTATCGGTAGAAATGTGTAGAATTGTGAAGCGAAGAAAAATGTAAAGAAAAACTACGAAAAAGAGGACACACAAATCCGTTTCCATATCACTTCCGTTTCCAATCAGCTCTTGAATAACATGAGAAGCTAACCAAATACAGAATTATCTCTAGGTATTTGTTGCACTTTGACCTCTTGAATTCCTTTCTTTGTGTCATTGTTGTAATTGTTTTGGTTCAAAGAGATCGCCTGAGTCTCTTGAATGCGTCTATTGTTCGTTTGCCATTTGAGTTTACCTCAAGAGCTTGCCTATCTATAACGAGAGAGATATATAATGAAAACTCGACGTGATCAT